TTCTTCCTACCGTCCGTTGTGGGGTTATGTTCATGCCCTATCTTCGCCTCAAGATTTAGGGCCTTCTTGCTGAACGAGGGGAAGTTGTGAACATTGATGTTGGCCTCACCTGCCAACTGATTCCTGAGAGGCATTGGAAAGCATCTCAGGTAGGAGGTGAGTAAAACCTGGGGGTCATAGCGCACCCGGGGGACAGAGATCAGACGCTCTACAGCGTCGGTCGCCTCCCTTAATGACTTAAACTGCCTCGTGTGCAGTGTCAAGATCGCATCACTGGCCTTTTGGGCCTCCTGTGGATCATGCCACCTTTCTTTCACAATCTTGAGGAAGTCCTCCAGTTTCTGGTGGGCTACCCAAGCGCGAAAGTCATGACCGTACCCCTGTAGTTGCACTAAACCGCTCAACCATCGTGCTGCACTACCCTCTAGATATGATGCAGCCACAAGCACTTCCTCGTGCGGCAAGGTAAGCTTGAGACTGGCACTGCCCTCGACCACGTGTCGAGGTCTTCGCCCCTCTTATCCCCTGTGAAGGCTTTAGGCGCGGCGATGGTTGTCTTTGGTACACACTGAGTTTGTCCCGGTCCCTGCATCCCACTGGGCTGTGGACCCTGTGATAGAGGCGACTGCACTGGCTGCAGGGGCTGTGTACCCTGTGGCTGTAGAGGCTGCGAGACAGCAGGTTGCGTTGTAACTGCAATCTGGCGACCTCCTCGGGAGTCATCACTAATGGCTGACTTGCCATAACGCCAGCGGACTGACTCAAAGCCTGCGCAACTGTCGACCCTATAGAGCCTGTTGACCCTACAAAGCGAGAAGACTGCAGAGCTTGTTGACCCTACAATTCCTGAACTACCTGCCTGAGAAGTCTGTTGCGCAGAGGTAGCCATTGCCTCCGAAGCTGCGGCTTCGCTTACGAGCGCCCTGCTAGCCTCCGCTGCTCTGGCCCTCCTCGGCTGCTGCTGCCTCTCTCTAAGCTGGCGGAACAGATGTCGGTCGCCCTCTGGTCCTAAGGCCAAGTGGGCGATCGGTTGTCTACGTGAATGCAAGAGCCGGTCGTCCTCTCCAGTGTCCTCCCTGTCACTCGTAAGCTACAGCACTGCACACAATCTGCACTAGTGCACTCTAGATGCCTACCGCAGTGTAATGCACAGACCAATTTAAAATAAATAACTAATTAATTGGTGACTGTGTCGGAGACTATACGTTCGGGCCCAACTAGTAAGTCAGATTCCTACAAACGATACTATTTTTAGTCTGATTAGTCCTCGAACAGAATGCACAATGAACAGAGACAGTTCTAATTATGCTGTCTATCAAATGTCATATGGCTGTACATCTAACTAATCAAAACATAAAAATAGAATCATTCGTGTGGAGAGGACAGTATGGAATTTTTCTCAAACTGGTCACCTGAAATCTACCCCTCCCTTAGTTCCCCTGAATGTCACTTGACGTTAGCGTCCCTGAGGAATCCGGAGAGCGTAGCGTGTCTAAAAGGTGTGTGTTCGGCCCACCCCTGTGGCCCGAGTATCTGCTGACCTGGCCAGCCCTGCATTGGATTATCCTCACGTGCAGCGAGCCTTACAACCATTGGCTGATCCAGAGGCAATTTAACGTCCGCCCCCAAGTGACTCCAGGAATTATTTTACGTCGCAGCCGGACGACGATCACAGCCAATGGTTTTCCCCTACCGGCGTTTATTTAAAGACGCCCGGTTCTCGTCTCCCACTTAGGGCTGGCCTGCCCTTCAGCACCCATCTAACAGCGCAGCAAGCCGAGCAAAGGACAAGCAGCAAAGCTTGCGTGCTCTACTCCCAGTGGGTTGGCATGGTGACCGTGGCCCAGTGCTTCGTGCAGGGCCCTTCTGAAAGCTCCGCCCATCTTCTCCCAGATGCTTCACGTGAACATTGCCGACTCTCAAGGTTGAGCACACTCGACACCTCACAATGAGAGGACCCTCAAGAAGGAACACAACCTCACGGTAAGAAGTGTCGAAGAGGGTAGGTAAGGTTAAGAGCAACGTACCTCAAATAGCTGCCCCCAACCACAGAGATAATCTCACCAGATGACCTGATGGCGATTGCGATGACCAGTCACTGCATCGGCACAACCAGCATTATCTCGCCGTTCCACCTCAGCATCAATCAACCATTAGATAGTTCTCATCACATTGTAGAACACCCACATTACACCACGTAGCCTTCTTGGCGATCCCATCACCTCCTGGGTCGCCACTCACTCGTCTCCGCCCTCCTCACTACACACCACTTATGGCCAAACTCGCCAAGCAGACCGCATGTATGTACCGCATAAGGTAGAAGACAAACGCCAGATGAGCGCAATTGTACCACAGCTCTGATACCAAATTGCAAGGAAGATGAGCAATAGCGAACTTCAGCAATCAAACAGCATCATACATATGAGTCCAGATAGT